ATGCCCAACCTAAACCTCCCTTGCTGCATTGACCTATCATGAGAGGCCAAGGAGAACAATTTTTCTCCCTCCTACTCGTAACACTTTGTCTCAGGGTATTTCCCTTGTCCCTTGCATAGGAAGCACTGTTAAGCCCCTGGGCCTCCTGGCACCACACCCTGCACCTTCTGCAACCCAGATATAGCTATACCCTGGAGCCCCTCTTTCCCGGGGGAGTACGGCCTAGCGGCCAGAGTCTCTAGCTTCCCCAGGGCAGTACGGCCTAGCGGCCAGAGTCGCTAGCAACGCCCCTTCCCCAGGGCAGTACAGCCTAGCGGCCAGAGTCGCGAGCAACGCCCCTTCCCCAGGGCAGTACGGCCTAGCGGCCAGAGTCGCGAGCAACGCCCCTTCCCCAGGGCAGTACGGCCTAGCGGCCAGAGTCGCGAGCAACGCCCCTTCCCCAGGGCAGTACGGCCTAGCGGCCAGAGTCGCGAGCAACGCCCCTTCCCCAGGGCAGTACGGCCTAGCGGCCAGAGTCGCGAGCAACGCCCCTTCCCCAGGGCAGTACGGCCTAGCGGCCAGAGTCGCGAGCAACGCCCCTTCCCCAGGGCAGTACGGCCTAGCGGCCAGAGTCGCGAGCAACGCCCCTTCCCCAGGGCAGTACGGCCTAGCGGCCAGAGTTGCGAGCAACGCCCCTTCCCCAGGGCAGTATGGCCTAGCGGCCAAATCAGAAGTCCAGGTGTAGCATCCCCTTGGGGGATAAGGAGGTAGGGTAGAGGGACCCAGGCCCTCCCTCTCCACCAGGTCCCAGCCCAGGGCCCTGTCAGTGGTGGGCATATCCCACCACTAACTCAACAGGGAGTCCACCTAAAACAAACTAAGCTTCTCGGGGACTCCAGTTCCCTGCTCTGTGCTACTTCCTACCCTGTCCCAGAGCATTGGCATCTTCCCCACCTGTGTCCAAGCCAGGCCTTTCCATGTCTGGCCTCTGCTGCGGCATCTGTCTGCTGCTCCTCCTCCAGGCTGGAAGCCTCCCTGGCTGGTCGGCCTCCCGGTCTGGCCCCTCAGGCAGCTCACCTGCAGGCGCTCAGGCAGTCTGTCCTTCCTCCTCAGCAGCCAGCCCAGACTGAGCCTCCCTCCCAGCTTTCATACCTGGGCTGTAGTCTGAGCATGCCCAGCAGGGTTGTGGGGGCGGGGCTCCTTCAGCCAGGTGAGCCTGGTTAGGCTCATCTTTTAGGTACTTGGAAGCTGCTTTCATGCCCCCCTCTCAGTCGTCTCTCTTCCAAACTAATCAATCCCAGGTCCTTCAGCCTTGCCTCACAGCTCATGTTCTCTAGACCATTCATCGTTTTCGTTGCTCTTCTCTGGACCTTCTCCAACGTACAGGCAGTGACATTCATTTGGATGGCACCAATGAAAAAGCCCTCTGCCCGGCTTGTTAAACACCTAAAATAACAAGTGAAAGGGTTAACCACTTAACTAGAATTGGAAGAACAATACGCACTCACTGCCGGGTGAAATGCCTCTCTTCACTTTGCATGTGCGTCACTTCCACGTGGAAAGGAGTACGGATTTCTTTCTTCCTCCTGGTTCAACTTTATGTTCCATAAATAAAACTGTCCAGTGTGAGAAAAAAAAAGAATAACAAGGGGCTAGAGTTTCTGTGTGCCAGTGGCAGGATGTTTTTTTGATTATCCTGTTTCTTGTAAACACCGCAACAGCTTTTGTAGCACAGATGCCAAGGCGGTTCATTGTTTTAACACCTGCTGTCCTTTAGAAGGGACCTGCTTTTCATAAACCCATTGATAAAATTCAGACTCAGAGACCTGCAATGCGGACTGACCGATCATGGATAATTTGAAAAAACCCTTGAGAATCTAACATCCGTCCAATTTTCTTTATCTTTGATTTAGGGCGATGGGAGGGGAAGTGAAACCTATTTTTTTTCTTCCCTTGTTCTCACAATAGTTATACAAAACAATGCATTCTGGCTGCAGGGCAGTAAACTGTGAGAAATAAAAGCAAGGGCTATATTTACTAGGCAAAGTTGCAGCCAACTTTATGAATGAAGCCACCAGTTGCATTTTTTTTCCGGGACTCGCCCTGCGGGCTGAGAAAAACAGAAAATGTTATTTCCAAAGGGTGTGATACATGCACATGGACACATTTTGCAAATTTCTGGTCTCTTTGGTATGGTCCTTGTAACTCCCACTGGTGTAAAAGAGAGTAAACATGAGCAAGTTTTTCACATCATTGCAACTGCACCAGGGATGTTCTTGGCTTTGTGTTAATTCATCTTCTCCATCACCTGGCCAGTCCCGGATAGTTCCTCACAATATAAGTTACTTTGTCCAGACTGATTCTAAAAGACATAAGAACGGCCGTACTGGGTCAAGACCAAACGACCATTTAGCCCGACAATGGCCAACACCAGATGCCCTAGAGGGAGTGAACAGAACAGGTAAAGCTCAAGTGATCCCTCTCCTCTCATCCATTTCCAGCCTCTGACAAACACAGGCAAAGGACACAATTCCTGCCCATCCTGGCTAATAAGTATTGATGGATCTAGCTTTCATGAACTTATCCAGCTCTTTTTTGAACCCTGGTAAAGTCCTGGCCTTTATAACATCCTCTGGCAAGGAGTTCCACAGGTTGACCTGGACTCCCAGCACCTATGCATACTATACACAGAGTGCCTTAAAAGTCAGTTCACCTCTGCAGTGTACTGTGACACCCCAATGGCATGTCAGTGTTGTGGGAAGACGGTGAAAGGACACCCATCAAATGTCCACTCTGATGTGGGATCTTCATAGAGCAGTTACACATTTTGATCACAGATTTATGTTTAGTTAGGACCTTAAGAGTAAGATCTGTGATACTGTCAGTATATGTGTATTGTTAAAGTTCACTTCCGGATAGTATTTCTTAGGGGCTGCCCGCACACAGCTATTGTGCTGGTTTAATTTAAATTGGTTCAGTTAAGTAAGCACAATTTTAATGTGTGGACTCTCTTATATCAGCTTAAAACAGGTTCAAGTGGTTTGACTTGTGCCCATAAGTTTACTGAGACAAGTTAAATAGGTATAAATTGGGTTTAAACTGATCACCACCCAAACCACGAAGTTACACCAGCTTAACTAAAGGGGTCCAAAAATCACTCCTTTCAATGTCACCCATATAACCATGTGTACAGCCCAGGCTTTGGGTCACATGCCTTCTGCATTCAAGCCAGGTAGATGGTGGGGGCTGGGCTGTGGGACCTGATGGGTAATAACAGAGGACTCCATATGGCTTCCTAAAGAGGCAGTTTCATTTGGAAGAGTCCATGAAGCCCAGCTCGGGCACAAGCCCTGACCCTATGCTCTGATTGGGAGAGCGCCAAGGCCCCTGATTGGGCAGAGTTGTACAACTGGGCTTCCCCTGCCTGCCATGGATGGTTGGGCTGATGTTTATTGGGTCCTGCCTTCTGACCTCCTGAATTGGGCTGACTCCTGGTAATTGTGGCCTGGGTCCTGCCCTTTGGTTTGTCTCTTGATTCTGATCTCTTGCCATGCCAACTCAGCCTGGTTCCCGGCATGGGGACCATCCGCCTGCTCCCAACGCTACATCCTAGGCCTGGCCACTCACGCCCTGCCCCGACAGCCGTCACTGCTCTGCTAGACACTGCAGGACCAAACCACTTTATTTAGTTCTGTGTTGCTGATAGATGGTGCCGAATGATCTGGTATTGGCAAGAGGGGAGACGTACGACCTGCTCTTTTCTGTTTCTTGCTTCAGTAGTGCCAATTATGTTGTGAATGTGTTCTCTTTGTTCCAGATCCGCCTCCCCACCCCCGTCACTCCTAAGTGCTTCTCTGTGCTTTTCGCTCCGTCCCTGTAGAATGTTCCAAACAGCTGTTGATTGACACTGTTGAACGTTAACTTGCTTGCCTGCATTGGACTCATGATTGGGCTTTGAGGTTATGTAAATCAATGAATGGAGCGCAAGGGATGCAGTAGCAGTTTGGGGGAGGCTCTTGAGGAGCACCTGCCAGGGCAGACAAAGAGGGAGAGATTTGGAAGTGGTGAGGGAAGGAGAGCTGACCGAAAGCATGGGGGTAGGGCTGTTTCTTGGTGCAGGATTTGTATTCTAGTCTCATAGCAATCTTGGGCCTGATTTCTCACTTTGAGCATCAGCCCCATTGTGTTCAGCGCTGTGTCCTTAAAAAAATTCACAGGCCTGATAATTCTTTACAAAATGGCCTCTTTGCACTATTCTGGAATTGTAATGGAGCCTTGAAATGGGCAGAGTAAATATACAAGGCAGATGGTACAGGTTGCATAGGAAGATGCATTTCCAAATACTTTCTTTCTTTCTTTCTTTCTTTCTTTCTTTCTTTCTTTCTTTCTTTCTTTCTTTCTTTCTTTCTTTCTTTCTTTCTTTCTTTCTTTCTTTCTGTTGCGCACACATTATCTGTAGAAACCTGGGAACTAGGGAGTGAATTTTCCATGTGCTGTACAGTCGGTGCACACAGAAATTTGGTTGAACGGGATTTGGGCAAAGAAGCGTCTCAGCATTACTTTGAAATGTCAGTGTAAATGATGCCTAGACTGCTCATCCATCATACACACCCTGTGGACTATTCTTGCCATTGCAGCGGAGCGTCTAACATTTCTTTCCTTGGGACGACTCCCAGACTAGCTGTTAGCAGGGTTGCCAGTTTGAGTTGGATGTGTTCCTGCAGGTTTCATCACATGATATAATCTTTCATTAAAGATTAATCTTCAACTCCTGGAGACTCCAGGACAAACTTGGTGGATTGGCAACCCTCTCTGTGAGGAGAAAGGTAATGCAGAGGTTAGGCGCGAGGCAGAGGTACTGCCACTTTAAGGGATAGTTCCGGTACAAGCAATGAGTCCTGTCCTACTCTGGGCTGGGCTGCCTAAAGGATGGGCTGGGAGAGAGACTAGGCCGGTTGCTACAGGCTGCAGGTTGCATGCCAATAGCCTGACCTGGGCCCTACAGACTTTGTTTTCTAACCAGGTTTGGTTGCTCTGAAGTAAGACGGGCCTTATGAACTGGATGAAGCATCCTCTCCCACCAGCCTGACGGAAAAGGAGAAAGCCTCCCTCCTAGAACACGAAGGACCTTGGTTTGGGGGCATGTTTGGTAAGTTTGTCATTGGCCTCCTCTTCTTGGCTCCTGTGGGGAAAGGAATTGCAATTCTAACCCCAAAATGACATATTCATGGAGAGACGGTCTCTGCCTGCTCATTAACGTGTTTCCTCTGTGGAAGTGTCATGTCCCCATCCTGTGTCCTAGCCAGACCTGTACTTCCTGGTGGAGAGGGACCGTGCCCCCACAGTCCATAGGTTTTGTAGGGGGGAGTGGCCTTTTTGCCTCCTACTGGTGCTAAACAAAGCAAGGCCGGTCTCGCGCCACATTGGGCAGGCATGGGTGAGGAGTGCTGCCCCCACGCTCCTCATCTTTTCCAAGCTGCTGGGCACTGCTGATGCACCGGTGGCTAATTTAGAATGTGGGAAAGTTCAGGCTGTGTAGGGGTCCCGCAAGAAGCGGCGGAGCAGTGACTCACAGAGAGTTATACCATAAAGACACATGTTAGGAAATTCAGTGTTCCTATGTTTACTAACTCACCCAACACTCCTCCTCCAGATGCTGTTCCCTGAACTCCTTTTCAAGCATGTGCGCAAAAGGAAGGTGAGTCACAGCGTGGGCAGACCACAGCATCCTCCTCTCTTACAGTGAAAAGGTGGCTTGTGACTTCCTCCAGGAGGGCAGGGGGTGGGACTTGCTGACCTCTCGAGATCCCTTCCAGTTCTAGCGTTCTAGGATTCTAGGATTAAATGGCCGAAAATCAGCAGTGGCTCAAAACTGAAGGTGAGCATGCTCCCCAGTCGCCAGAGCAGGGATCAAGCAGCAGCTTGGTTGTTTCCAGGCATTAAGAGCCACTCGTTCATCTCTGCACCTTCTGCTCAGCACACATTGTGCTGCAAAGCTCTGGCAAAGGTCACCGTGCCCTCTTGCCGTCCTCTGAAACAAAGTAAGAATCTGCTCTCCCAGCTGATGAGATATGCTAATAAACAACGTGGAACCTTTGCTGGCCATCGCTACCGCCACCTTCTGGATTTGACCCTCCAAGGCTGGCTTGAAGCTACCAAGCCCACATGTTCTTCAGGTGGTTCTAACCCTGGTGGGGAGTTCTAGGGTAACTGGCTAAGGTGGTTTCCTAGTCCAACATATAACAGCCAGAGAGGAGGCTACAATCCGGCTTTTTCTGTGTCTTATCTCAGGGTACGTCTACACTGCACGGCTATTTTGAAATTAGCTATTCCAGAATAGTTATTCCAAAATAGCTTATTCCGAAATAACACGTCTACACAGGGGCAGATGACTGTTTTGCGGGGCCCTGGGCAGCATAACTCCGCGCCCCCCCCCCTTGCCACGGCGCATGCGCGGGGCTTTTTTAAGCGCAGGGCCCGGGGCGGCCGCCCCATTAACCCTGCCCTATATCCGCCCCTGCGTCTATACTGCAGGGAAGCCTCAAAATTAGTCTGAGGCAGGCTACCCTAATGTAGATGTGCTATCTCGATTTAGAGCCCCAGGAGGCACTGGGGAGGAATATCTTAGAATGGCCCTGGTGAGGGGCTCTCTTGACATAGCACCAATGGAGCGTCTACACACGCTTTATTTCAAAATAGCTATTTTGGAATAGGCATTATTCCTCGTAGAATGAGGTTTACAGATTTCAGAATAAGCCATCTGTTATTTCGAAATTCTTTCAAAATAATGGCATGGCTGTGTGGACGCGCACATTGTTATTGAGAAATAACGCTCGTTATCTCGAAATAACGGTGCAGTGTAGACGCATCCTCAGTTTCTTCCAGACGTAAAATATGGGCACTGATGACATACAGATGAGGCTGTGGAAGAAGGAAAGTAATCCATATAAACGCTGACCCACGATAGCATCTTAATGTTTCCTATCGGCCAGAATCCATCTAGAACAGTCACAATTCTGACGCTGCGGCCCTCCCCCCTGCATCGCCAAGCGTCCGTTTGTGCAGTGGCAGGGCCGGCTCAGTTCTGCAGATTCTATCGCGCGTGTAATGAGGCTGATTAGCTCTGATGTGTTTAAGTTATAGCCCGGCGGCTTTCGGCCCGTGCAGACACAACACTGTTCCTCTGCAGAAGGGAATGGGGGGTGGTCCCACCAGCCTGCTCAGCAGAGGGGGAGCCATGTTTTTTATTGCTACTGATGTGAAGCAGATGGGCTGGAAGGGTCTGAAAAAAGCAGGCAGAGCCAGTGTAATGGCGTGGTCAAAACTAGGGCAAAGCTACCCTCATTGCAGATTACGGATAATTCGCATCCTGTCCTGATCTGGGGCTATGCAGATGTGCTATGTGAGTGCTCCATTGGCTAGCGTCCCGCCCTGTCTCAAGTCTGCATTTCTGGTGTGTGAGGGCAACCCCTCCACATGTCCATCAAATTCACTGGTGGAGTATTCACTTGAAGCTAACATCCACATTCCCCATGGAGGTGCCGAGACCTGCTGTCCGGCTCTCGCATCCTGTCCTGATCTGGGGCTATGCAGATGTGCTATGTGAGTGCTCCATTGGCTAGCGTCCCGCCCTGTCTCAAGTCTGCATTTCTGGTGTGTGAGGGCAACCCCTCCACATGTCCATCAAATTCACTGGTGGAGTATTCACTTGAAGCTAACATCCACATTCCCCATGGAGGTGCCGAGACCTGCTGTCCGGCTCATTAGCATTAGGACTTTGTCTTAATAGCACTTTTTGAAGCCACCTTAGGATATGGGCTTTTCAAACCAGCAGGCAGTTCTGAGCCCACATGGATGCTCTTGAATTCCTCATGGCAGCCTGCTGCCATAAAGAGTTGTCTTTCTGTGGCACGAAGGATAGATTTTCATGATCATAGAGTTGCCCAGTAAAACTGCAAACCCCACCTTCTCTACTTACCCCAGAAATGGAGTTGGCTTCTCTTTTAGTCTCCTAAATCTTCCAGGTCTGTTATTTTTCAATCTGAGGTCTTCCCTCTATGCCAAAGAAAGGCCAAGGCAAATAAGCCAAAGGATACACGTTCTCCATTGGTCTGAGTCTCCTCATTTCATTGAAAGTCCATGGAATTGTTTTTCTTTTTTCTTTCCCTCTTAATTTTTTTTAAAAGACAGTTGTTAAAAAAAGTTTAGGAAATTAAACCTCAAAAAACTACATGAATGTAATGTTAAGGTCTCACAAAAACTCACCAAGCCAGGAAATTCCAAGATAAGTTTGAAACTCTATTCTTTACACCACCTTAATGAGGTTAATTGTTGCAAGGTTCAAACAATGGGTGATCTTGCGCTACAATTCCTGGCCATGAAGGAGTCCAATTCATCCCTGGAGCAAGCTGCTGGGTACAATGGGCTCACACCAGGGTTGGATTTGATCCAATTTGTTGAGTGAGGATGGAGTTTCATCCTTAATTCTGAATTTCCCGACTCTTGTGGATTTGAGTCAGACCATTGACGCTAGCCGAATGTCATTTTTTTCTTGTGGGTTAATATAATAATTGAGCTCCATGGAACTATTTGGGGTACCGTTTTTAATAAAAGATACTTGGCAAAATATATCAGTGGTCCGAGAGCAGCAGTAGGATTGGGCCTGAAAGACAAATTCTAAAATAAACGTGGAGAACACGGCATACATTTCTAGACATTTCCTTAGTTTCAGAGGGCCCCCTTCTGTTCCACTTGGAGAGGACAGAGGGTGTCATATCGGGAAGAGAAATTCCCTCACCCGATTCCCTGTTCATGTTGGTACTTCTGCTTGCCAGTCTCCCTGGCTCTGCTGATTTCCTCTCCAGAGGGCAAGAGGTGCTGGATCAGCCATTGTCATGCATGAAAATGCATCACTGGTGCTCAAGAGCCCTGTTTTTATTGGTCTCTGTGTTTCAGTCGTATAGCTCTGTGTATTCTGTGGTTGTTGCCCACAACTGCACACTCCAACTCATTGTTGCTGCATGTTCTGTGGGGAGACGCTGTTAATAACAATTCTAATTACAAAATTAAATAATGCTACTAATGACAAAATAATTAAATGATGTCTATTAAACATTTATGATGTAGGTGCTGTAAATGTCAATAAGCCATGATTTCTACTGGATAGGTTAATTTGGTATATAGTAACTCACAGGCCATGTCTTCATCACATGGAAGATCAATGCTGCTGCGATTGATCTTCCGGAGTTTGATTTAGTGAGTCTAGTTAAGACATGGTAAAATGAACTCAGAGGGTGCTCACCCCTGGCTGCCAGTATTCCTACTAGGGCAAGGAAGCTACTGGGAGCGTCATGCTGTGGAGATGGTGGTAAATGCGAAACAAGGTACGTCGACTCCAGCTATGTAATTAACGTAGCTGGAGTTATGTATTTTGTTTTGACATTCCCTATGAGTGTAAACCTGCCATAGAAACTTAGGCTATGCCTGGGATCCCTGCCCTGCAGAAGCAAATCAGATGAACCACTCAGCGGCTCAGTTTACGAAGATGTAAAATGGACATATCAGCTTTCCATACACCATTGTGAAGCACTCTGAAACCACTGGGTAAAAGAACAAGAGGCCATTTTTGATGAAAAAATGAAAATGACTTATTTTTTCACTTCCGACTATTTTCATAAACTGGTAAAACGGTCCCACATAATAGTACAGAACTCATTATTATTATTATTTATGTATTTGTAACTGTGCGAGCAATGAAAAATCATCTTGTTTTAGGATTTTTTTTGGCAAAAATCTTAGTTCCAAAATGTTTTCCTAATTATTGAAGAATCAGACCTAACAGTTTTCAGTTCTCAGAGTGGTAGCCATGTTAGTCAAGATCATCTCATCTGAAGAAGTGGGTTTTGCCCACGAAAGCTGATGATACTATCTATATATTTTTGTTAGTATCTAAGGTGCCACAGGACTACTCAGTTTTCAGTTCTGTTTACTGAAAAGAAAAGAAAAGAAAAGAAAAGAAAAGAAAAGAGCCATGAAAAATTTTAAAAAATCAATTTTTAAAAAATTTGCTTTAAAATCTTTGTGCCAATATTTGCCATTTTCTGACCAGCTGTGTGTTACATTGTATTATAATCTCAAATGATAAACCGAAATATCACTCTTTTGGAAGACGGGGAGAGAAACACTGGATCAAATTCAACTACTGGATAGACCAAATCAATCTGCATTGAACTGGCACCAGTTTACACCACAACTAACTCTCGCCTATTTTCTCACTTGACTTCTTCAATTTATCTTAAGAACCCACCTTCAAAACGGGCATGACCAATCCTGGATTGGAAAAATTTTGTCATGCCGGTCTGTTCTGATCATACGTAGGTTCCTAATACTAGGGTCATTACCACTCTTGGACTTCTCTGATACAAGTCACAGTTCAGTTCCTATGGAGCTGGACTTGGTCCTCAGGAATGAATACAAAGTTTGCAGAACTTTTTAATATCAAAGCTCATCCCCTTTCTAGGGAAGCACTAACAGAACAGCCTGACATCAACTAGAACGTCAGTTCTGCAAACACCTACGCGCATGAGTGACTTCAGGTATGCATGGCCAATAGGAGGACTTACCTGCAGAAACATACTCGCACGTTGAATTATGTGCAGGATCAGGACATACATGGCTTTCCTTAGACACAGAGATCCT